TTTGATGGTGCAAAGCACATACCATACCTGGATACCTCTATCGCCAAGTGGTGTAAAGCTACCGCCCGTTCAAGCTGGGCAGCTCCCAGCCAATAAGGTGCTGTATCGCCCACATTCCGCTTGTCTCATTGGGTGCATGAGACTAAGGGCCGATCCCAAAAAGTGGACCGATAATCAACACACCAGCGAACAGCAAACTTAACCGAAACTCAAAGGTCTTGAGTTAGAGGTCTCTAGAAGCTCCAACACGGTTGCTTCGTTCACGCTCCCGAGCTGAATTTACGCCCCACTGCCTTGTGGTTCAGACTCTTGAGTCAAAGGCTCCGGTTAGGGTTCCTAAAGAAAAAACCCTTTTCGTCGGTGTTGGCTACAGCGAAGTATGTCGTGCCCTTAAGTCTTAGGCACCCAGTTGGACAACCATCTTTCCCATCTGTCTAGTTCTTCTTCTCAATCCTGAATAATCCCAGATGCCTCCTGTTTACGCCACCCATCGAATATCAATTAGCGTTTTACCATCAAGGCCAAACAATCAGAAGCTATAGGATATTTAAAGCCAAAATCCTGTCTTTACCTAGCAGCATTCAATGTCCGCACGCTCTATCAGATTGGCCAATAAGCTGCCCTGACTGGAACCCTCGAAACTTTCAATGTAAATGTATGTTGTGCCTCCGAAACACGCATACAAGACCCTACTTCCATTATCTCTCTGCGTTCTCCTGATCCGACCTCAACCTCAGGCTTCACCCTTCATGTGTCAGGCAATTCAGCATCCGAAGCTCGCGGTGTTGCTGGTGTCGGGATTGCGCTAAGTGCCAAGACTGAGCACTCGCTTCTTGACTGGATTCTAGTCAGTAGCCGATTGTGCGTTGTACGTCTGAACGGTTCAGTTCAAGTCAACAGCTACAGAACGAAGCGTCGATGCTTATTCGTCGTATTCGCAGTATACCCGAAATCAATCTCCAAAGTGCTCGATCAACGGACGTCCTAGTAGTCACCGGAGACTTCAGTGCTCAAGTGGGATCCCTGGACGAATCAGAAAGCCTTCTTGGCGGACCATATGCAATCCCAGCCAACCGGACGGACAACGGCGATCGCCTACTTTAACTCTGTCCGGACCACGGGTTGTTCCGGTCAAATACGAACTTCTCGCACAAGAAAAGCCATCGACTTACATGGAAACCGCCAACCTCTTCACTGCGCTGGACCCAAATCGACCACACTCAAGACTGCCGCTCTTACTGGTCAACAGCTGTGGATACAGACCACGCCTTGTTACGAGCCAAGTTCTCCTTACGCCTGGCAAATAAACGCAAAAAAAATCACCATCAACGGATACTTACGATAGTGTCAGCGATTTATGCAAATCGGCATTCAAAGCGGAGCACTCCGATCGCCTGTCAGTTCAACCAACAGCCGAAGGGCTTAATGAACACTGGAAGCAAATCAAGGAAGCTATGTAGATATTGATAAAAACAACGTCGGATACTACCTCAAGCTCAAAACACAAACGATGGATTTCATCGACATCGGCTGCTCTGCTCAACGCCCGCAGAACCCTCCCTCCCAAAGCAACATACAACACAGCGCGCAAATCCCTTAAACGCCAGCTCATCAAGAGTCTGAGGAATGACCGCGAGAAGTGGTGGGTAGAAAAGNGTGTAGAGATGGAGAAAGCTGCGGCTATTGGTAATAGTCGTAACATTTTCCATCTAATTAAGAATACGGGTCCTAGAAAAATAGGCGTGAGGTAATTAAAGAATCCGATGGCACACCTATTCACGATCAGCAACGCCGTCTTGACCGTTGGGCTGAACACTTCAAGGCTCAGTTTAACTGGCCCTCATTAACATCTTATCTTTCAGTCACCGCCTCGAATGGACAAATACTCCCAGTTGATACTGGTCCTCTATCGGAACTGGAGGTTTCTCGGGAAATAAGGCATCTCAAAATGCATAAGGCTTCTGGCCCAGGTGGGCTGTTCCCATCAGCGTTTAAGGATGGAGGATCAGCGTTAGTTTTGGAGTTGACTAAACTCCTGAGTTCAATATGGAAAGGGAAGAGGTTTCAGCTGAATGGTATAAATCGGTGATCATACCAATTTACAAGAAAGGTGATAGATATTCTTGTGGAATTAGTTTAATGATTATTGCCTCTAAACTTCTCCGCCGATTGTCTGCAACACGTTAACGGTGCACGTGTCAGAACCAGGCTGGTTTTAGGCCCGGTTTAGGTTGTATCGACCACATTTTCACTCTCCACCAAATAATATTAAATCAACAAAATAAATTAATAAATAATAAATAATTATCTCCAAAGGTACACGCACCTCCGCTAAGATAGATAGTATACAATCGCAGAACATTGGAGTACTCACCATATAATTTTCTTGATCGGCAAGAAGCACTTTGGTCACACCATCCACTTTTGACACTTCTTCAGCCGCCTTCTTGCATTTGTAACCTCCAACCACACAGACCACGGTGCCGAATTTAGTGGCAGCAGAAATCGCACTCTTTGTGATCGCTTCTATTTTGTCATTTGAGTGTTCCACAATTACCAAACTACTAAGAAAACGCTCAGACCTAGAAAGAATATTCCAGGTGGTGTAAAGACAACGGCGGAGCATTGTGACCTTGAACTTTGATCTGGAGCGTTCAGGTCAGGTCAGGTTTAGTACATTTGTTTCCAATCGTCTGGCGGTAGTGCACGAAGAGACCAAAGTGCACCAGTGGTGATACGTGGACTCTGCGGAGAACTCAGCCGACCACTGCTCTCGAGGCTTGAAATCATTGGACAAACTATCTAA